GAGTCTGGCTTAGGTGGAGGGAATAAACAATTAGGATAAATAAAAAAATATCTGTCTAACACAGAAGTGGGTCAGTGACACCCCCCCCCCCCCCCCCCCCACCAAACACAGCCTTAATCTGTAGATGGTTTCACATGATAAAGGCTGCCTGGCTCCAGAGTTTCTGCCGTCAGACTGTGTCTCTTCACAACAAGATAGACGACACACAAACAACCCCCCCCCCCCCAAAAGACATACACACTGCCTCTGGTGACGTGCCACTCAGTCTATAGCTGCTATCTCAACTGTGTATTGCCTTGCCCTGGCTGCCAGCCATGCTGGAATTGGCCAGCCAGCCAGGCGTGCCACTCCACTGCTATCATAAATCACAACATAACGTGCAGCCATTTCCTGCACCCACACGCACAAACACACACACACACTGCAAAAGGTAGTGTGTGAATGCGAGTCTAGATAAGAACATTGTTAAATTAAAGCCAAAGGATTCCATAAAACAATGCACATCACCTGCCACACTTCATGCAGAGTGGCCACTTTGCTCAAATCATAAAAAAATGTTATGGGAGATAGGTTAAAACTTAAAGTGTGTGTTGGGGATCAGCAATCACAACACCAAACTTTAGCTCCATATCTGTAAAAAAAATGGCTGCCTTATAGCCATTTTTGTTTTTGTTAAGTTTGACCAGCGGTGGCAGGCGTCTTACAACAGGTTCACTCCAAAATGTAGACGTGGATCCAATAGTTATATTCCCAGAGTTTAATCAAAATCAGCCCAATGGTTCATGAGATATTTTGCTAACAGACAAACAGGGCTGACCCCAAACTTTAATCCAAAAGTTTTAGCCAAAAATCTTACACTATGTAAGATACTTGAAGTATGTGTTGGTGATAAGTCTCAGCTACCACCACACTAAGATTTTAGCTCCATGTCTGTAGACCTGACTGAGTGGAAAACATATTTAGGTTTGCTAAGGTTGGGTGGCTGTGGCGTTCATCTTGAACTGGGTTTACTCCAAACACAAATAGGTTGTAAATATGCACGTAGTTATTACTTTGTGGAAGTTTCATAGAACTCCATCCAGTGGTTTGTGAGATATTTTACTAACAGACACAGACAAAAACTTTTTTTTTTTGGGGGGGGGGGGTCTTGTGAAATAAAGCTCACCTGGTGGTTTAAGATAATCCATGGGGTAGCGGGAATATGGGGGAGGAGGTGACTCTGTGGAGAGGAGGAAAAAAGAAGCATGAGAAGAAGAAAAAAACACACAAGAGAGATTTAAACTTTAAGATAAGAGTTGTCATTCTTCAGGGAGGAGGAGGAGGAGGAGGAGAGAGATTTGTGTCTGTCAGCTCCGCCTGGAGAGGCAGGCAGTGAGGCCGGCCGGGCGGCTATAGCTTTTCATTGGCAGGCAGATAAACAGGGGGGGGCCGCCTGGCGCCAGAAGGGCCACTATCAGCGTCTAGGACAAACTGAGATACGGGCCTCTTTTTGGCCCGGGACGCCAAGCTCGCGCACGCGCACTCACCCACACACATACACAGAGGGGGGAAAAGGGGGCTGGAAACTTCACAGTGCAGCCCTGGATCTGAGTGTTTGGAAATGCCAATTATAAAACTCCGAGAGGAGAAAAAAACAGTTTGGACTCACTTATGCGCAGCTCTTTAATGGAATAAATAAGAAAATATAAAAGCGCACTTAACAGAATTAAGCTGTTGATGTGAAGTGACAGAACCCCCCCCCCCCCCCCCCCC